GCATTTTAGCTGCAAAAACTGTTCACAAATGACAGGATACATTAATTGGTGTCTCACACTCAGGGAACCATGGTAAATAAATATTTCTTCTTGTACTGAGAAGAACAGTTAAAGTGTGATCATCCTCCTCCCCCTCTCTGACCCCAGTTTTTACTAAGAATGTGGATAGAGCAGAGTGGTTAGAAGCACAGTCTTTGGAGCTAGACTGCATGGACCAAAGCCAAGGCCAGTCTTAGACAAGTTATTTAACTTCTCTGTGCCCCATTTTCCTATATCTATAAAGTGGTGGTGATAATAATGATGCCTCTTTCAAAGATTATTGAGGAGTAGTAAATGAATTATTACGTGTAGCATATAAGATAGTTCTTGGCATATAGGAAGGGCCGAAGAGACAGAAGCTACTGTTATTCACTCAGCATTAGGCGCCTACCATGTGTGTACAGGCAAGCCCGAATGGGAAGATGGGCACACAAATAAGCCTGCCTTCTGCCTCTGCCTGCTTTCTATTGAAAGCTTGGCAGATGAGGGTGCAACTGCAGAATAGGAATAATACTCCATATATAATAAATAGAACTGATAAGAAAGGCAGAAGGCATAGTGGAGCTAGAAATGTAATAGAACAGTAATTGAGGAGCTCAACCTTTTGTCTATTATGAATTAAGCCAAAATGCATGATAATGTAGCTGAGATTAAACACCCAGAAATTGGACCTCATTGTGGTTTGGTAAAAGAATTAATATAGAACAGAGCAGCAGCCTAAGAAAATTTTATAGAACTACCATGATAACACCCTGGCCAGCCAACAAAACATTCAGTTACCAGATGTACCCAATAAAGCAGCAGGACTTAACCTTCTCCCACCTCGCTGAAAATTTGCAAAAACCTAGTGTACACACACACACACACACATATACACAAATGCCATTTGGTGCAAAAAAAAATATTAATATGGAAAGCAAGGAGCAGAAACGTGAGGCTGGTTTGAATCTCAGCTGTAGCACCCACTTGCTATGTGTCCTCCTGCTCCCTGGTGTCTGCATCTATGAAATGGGGATACTGTGAGCACCCACTGCACAGGATTGCTATGAGGACTCAGTGAGGTAATGCGTAAAAACCTCCAGGCTTTAGCACTGAGCCTGCCCCAGCCATTGCTCATTGCTGCTTGGGTTGCTGTGCACTAGCTGGACACCTGCCTCCCAGCTACCCTGTCTTCCCTCTCTCACTCTATGTGTTTGTCTGTTTCTCTATATATATATGTTTTATACCCACGTTTTCTATATTTTTTAATAAAAATAATCCACATTCATTCTAGAAAAACAATAAAATACATACAAAAAATTTAAACCACCCAAATTCCACCATCAAGAATAGCCACTGTTTTGCCAGGTACCCTCTGGTCTGTGTCTGTGTCCATGTAAATGTAAATTTCTATATCTGCAGAAATAGATCATTACATATACAGAATCATACTATATATTCTGTACAGAATTTTTTTCTGCTCAACAGTATATCATGTCAATAAATACAACATGCCCTTTTTCATTTGAAATTACTATATGATATTCTATTTGAGGTAAATTTCATAATTTATTTAGATAATACCATTTTGCTGGAAATTTAAGCTATCATCAGATTTTCTGTGTTGTAAACTCTGATTGTATAAATATCCTGCATCAATGTATCTGGATACTCAGTAGCTCTTACCACTGGCCAAAGGCAATTTTTTTTCTCAACACGGATGATTGCCACTGGGCTTGCTCTCAGGCTTGCATTTGTGTAAGAGATAAAAAGTAACTTGGAGTTTTGAAGAAGATACACATTTTAACATAATAGGAGCTACGTAAAGACCTCCATATTTAAGTATAACCAGAACCAGATAAAACAAAGAGTAAGCTGAGCTCCCGTCCCCCAAAAGCTTTAATAAGGTTCAGAATGCATGTTATTGGGTGATCATGGACATACAAAATGGCCTAGAAACATTTTGGGAATACAGAAGACCAAACAACAATTAGAAAACAGAGAACTAGGAGCAAGCAGTCATAGTTCCTAGTTTGTCTTCGCACATTTATTTTGCACAGGACAGAGATAAATAGTGATTCCTGGTTATGTACTTCGTGCACCTGAGTCATTTTGCTGGGTAACATCAGAGGTCACACAGATAAGTAAAGTACTAAATAGTTTTAATAAAATGTATCCAGAATTCACAAGCAAAAGCAAAGGAAGGGAAGTCTTAACTAGTGAGGGCAGGGTGTTGGTGCACATCTGCAGCAGATGTATTGAGGGCCTACCACGTTCCAGAATGGAAGGACGTCTTGTCTACTTCCAGGGAAAGTCCAAACTACAAGGAGAATTGAGTTGCTAAAATTGGGCACCATTGTTTAAGAATCTGAATGTTTGAATGTCTTGCAATTTTAATTTTCAAATATTTCACTAGTAACACATCTGAATAAGAGTAGAGATCATAACCCTCTTCTCCATCCGGCCTCTGCGTCACCTGGAACCATCATGTAACCTTGCTGAGCCTCTGCAATTGGGATAATAGTGCCGCTTCCACTCCTCACCTCATAGCAATATGCCCAGTGTTTAGGCAAGAACATGAAGAGCTCTTTGCGTTTCTTTGAAGCTTTGAGGTATCCGAGGTGGCATGATGACACATGGCAGGGTTAATCTCATTTGCACTTGGTGGTTTGGGTATTTATATTAAACATTATAATGCTATGTTTATATTTGCAAATAAGTAAGCTCCCTGTTATCTGTGTTTTAATATTTATTTATGGCTGGGCGTGGTGGCTCATACCTGTAAGCCTAGCACTCTGGGAGGCCAAGGCGGGTGGATCGCTCAAGGTCAGGAGTTCGAAACCAGCCTGAGCAAGAGCAAGACCCCGTCTCTACTATAAATAGAAAGAAATTAATTGGACAACTAATATACAGAAAAAATTAGCTGGGCATGGTGGCGCATGCCTGTAGTCCCAGCTACTCAGGAGGCTGAGGCAGGAGGATCGCTTGAGCCCAGGAGTTTGAGGTTGCTGTGAGCGAGGCAGATGCCACGGCACTCACTCTAGCCTGGGCAACAAAGTGAGACTCTGTCTCAAAAAAAAACACATTATTTATGAACATGTCCACTTGAGCTGAGATGGGCTTGCTCAGCATCTCAGCCCATTTTTAAGGTGGCGTATCCCTGGAAGGCGCTGTGCTGGGGACCGGAGCAACATGTGAGGAAGGGCGCCTCCCTGAAAACTTCCTCTGTGCCTTCTCCCTCCTGGCGCTCCTGCTCACTCCTCGAGTTTCGCCAGGCCTTACCCTGCTCTTTCCCCCACTTGCCTGCCCTCGTAGCAGCTTTTCTATTCCATCCCTCCATCCTTGAGCACGGCCTTCCCTCTTCTGTCCCAGTCAGCCACACCCGCTCCATCTCCCCCTGCTGGTCCTCCTCTCCCACCAAGGCTGTGTAGGAGTTGCAGCCCTGGCCACTCGGCTGTCCCTCCGCTGCCCACGCTGGCAGGCCAGCCCGCTACGCTGCTGGGCAGGTGTCAGCGAACAGACAATGCTAGGCCCCTGTTTGTTGGTGGGGACAAGATGAAAGACAGAGTCAGCCCGTGTCTCTCCCCACCCCAGACCGTTATCTGTGTCTGGCCCTGCTTCTTCTCTAGACTCCTTGGCCTCCGCGCTACTACGTGGTACAGTGAGGTGGGGATGTTAGGTTATCTGGAGATGTGTTGCAATATTAATCTGAAGAAAAGCCACCAGGCCTCCTCACCAGTGTGAACTGACACCGGTACGTAAGCGCTGGCTCACGCCGGCAGCCACTCCACTGTAGAATGGATTGTGGAAGACAGTAGGCGTTCAGCAGTGACCCAAGTTGGAGGACCACAGCCCTGTTTTCCTTCCTGCAGAAATTCTCATCTTTAGCCTTTCAACAAGTATGAGGCTTTCCCCATCCTTTGGGGCTTGGCTCAGTCAAGCTGGTAGCACAGTCTGAGGTGGTCCTAAGTGAGGGAGGTTCAGGGTCCCAAAAGCCAAGGAAGAGGCATTACCTGAGTTCATGGGGTCAGATGAGACTTGTTCTGTGTCAGGAGTACCCAAGACCACACTGAGGCTCAGTGATTTACTAGAAGGACTCGAAGGACTCAGAAAAACTGTTAGGCCCATGGTTATGGTTTGTTAACAGCAAAAGGGTACAGATTAAAACAGCAAAGGATAAAGTGCATGGGGAAAACGCCAGGAGAAACCCAGGACAAACTTCCAGGTGTCCTTTCCCAGTGGAGTCACACGAATATGCTTAATTTTTACAGCAATGATTTGTGACAACAGATACAGTACTGTCAAACAGGGAAGCTCACCTAAGCCTTAGTAGCCAGGATTTTTACTGGAGTCAGTCACATAGGCATGTAGTATCTGTGTGACTGACCTCAGCTACTCAGACTCCAGCCCCCCAGGGAAAGAATAGACATTCATCACAAATCTATCTGATCAGACATACAAAATGCTCTCGTTAGGCAGAATATTATCAATGCAAGGACTTAGAGCTCATCCCTCAGTAGCCTGTCAATAGCCAGTCCTGAAAACAGGCCTTTCTTGGGAATGTGTAGGGTTTGAGCAACTCAAGCCTGCTGAGTTAGCCCTTCCCTGCACACATTCCCAGTTTCAAAACCCTGGATGGCTTTGGCCATTTCACTGAACTTTTCATCACCTTCCAGAAGTAACAGCCTCTGCACCTTCTGCATAGGATCACTGTGATTCAAAATACTAGCCATTGAGCTATTTTCACGAAAAGCAGGACAGCTACAGCAAGAACACTGTCATGGTTCTTATGTTCACAGTTATTCTTCTTTGGGGGTGGGGCATGGGTATGAGCCCTTATTGCTACCTTGTTATCTCAGAACAAATCAGAGTGACTTCCCCTATATTCTGAAGGCAAAGACAACTTCAGAGCAGGGTGTCTGCACTCCACAGTGGCATTTAACCTTCTCCCTTGCTTTTCTCTGTCTCCCTTTCCCTGGCAGTGGCTCAGAAACCCTGGCCCCCAGCATGAGAAGCGGACCCTGTTTGGAGACATGGTGTGCTTCTTGTTCATAACTCCCCTGGCCACCATCTCGGGCTGGCTGTGCCTGCGGGGCGCCGTGGACCACCTGCACTTTAGTAGCCGGCTCGAAGCCGTTGGACTGATTGCACTCACTGTCGCACTCTTCACTATTTACCTCTTTTGGACACTAGTAAGTATGGCCTGTGGCCGGGGGTTCAGGTCAGTTGGAACTGGCAGCCTTCCAGCTGGAACAAGCTTTTCTTGTCTTTAGCACATCTCACCTGCCCAGTAGAACACAGACCTTCAAGTGCTGGCAGGAGTGTGTGATTTGGCTTATTACTCTGTGTGTGTGTGTGTGTGTGTGTGTGTGTGTGTGTGTGTGTGTTGCTAGGACAGGCAGATCAAATAAAGAAAAAGCCCAGTCACAGGTGCACACCTTGGCCGCTGCTGTCCCCGGCGGTCCAGGACTCCATCTGCTGTGAGGCAAGGCGTTTGCTTCCTCTCCTTGGTGTTTCTCGCCTTTGCCGGGACTGTCGTGTGCTATGAATGGCGCACTCGCGGCTGCCGCCGTCGCTGACTACACACATCAGGAGTCCTCCTGCTGGTTCTTCCTCTTACGTCCTGACACAGCCTAAAGTCTTTGTTGGGTGCAGAGCTGCACTTTGCCTGAAGATTATTCCGTGCGTTGGAATATTGACTCTGCTGCCCATAAAAGCACTAATTTATCTAGCTGAGATGCTGCCACCAAAGAAAGGCCATTTCCCAATAAGTGTTCCCACTGTCTATGAGGAAGAATTTTTAAATCTTTCTTTCTTTCATTCTTTTAACTTCAGGCAGGAAGTTGATTGCCTGGGCACCAGCTGGCAGCACCCATAAAGTGCAACGTTTGGTCTCTCTCAGCCTTCCCTCTGGGGGCCGCAGGGAAAGGCGTCACTATCCTCCAGAACATTTTCAGAAGCTGGGCCTCCTGTTTCCTGGCATTACTCTCCTGTGCCTGCTCACGTCTGATCTGAGCACGTCCCATTGTTATTCCATACGCATGCCCTGCCTCAGTGTGCCGTGCCGCTGCCCAGCCTGTGGAAGCTGTTTCTCCTAGTCATGCTTCCCTTCCTCTGCCTCCCAGACCCTGTTCGCTTCCTCTTACCCATCATGCAGCTCTTCCAGCTCTGTACGTCCCCTCCGAGGACACTGTTTGACAGTAAGGGACACGTTTCCATCTCAGTAAGAGGCGAATGACCTGAGCCTTGGTAAATAGGGAGGTTCTAATGCTAAGAACTTACCTGAGTCTTCTGGTTAATTTAGACATTCTGTTCTCAGACTAATGAAGCCCTGAGTGAAACTATGATTGCCTCCTTTAAAAGTCTATGCTTCCAAAGTGTGTTCTGATTCATTGTGGATCAAGCAATGAAGCTGATCCAGAAGCTTCTATTGTGATGGAAGAAGGGTTAGAAAAAAGAAATTAAGTAGTCTAACTAGCAACATCCCACCCTGTCAGCTTCACCACCTTGGGGAAATTCATTTCCCTCCCTTGAGCTTCAGTGTGAAAGGGCGAGGCAGCAACCCCCCCCCCCCCCCCCCCCGCCAAGCACCTGGTGTGGTGAGCTTGCAGAGAAAGAGCGCGAGGAAAGTACTTTGGAAAATAATGCTAAGTGTAAGTCTTGTACCATGTTTAGAGGTTTTCTAGTCTATGACCTTTCTTAGAAGAGTTCCTATGTTGAAGGAAGGGTGGAAGTGAACCTAAATGCTGGGATTTCAAAACCAATTGAAGGCCTTTTGGAAAACCTGCTTTGTAATGCATACACTTAACTAACAAGAAAGGGGGTGGGGAGTGGAGTGGAGGGACAGATGGGAGAAAAGAAAGAGGACTACCAAGAAAAAATGGATTATGACCCTGTTTCAACTCCCATCTCAGGCAAAAGAAATGGTTAGGTGGAAAATGTACCTAGACTAGGCTCTTTCAGGAGAACGATAATATACTTCATTCCAGAAACGTCTCCAAGAGGCACTGCTGCATGGTGAAAGTGCATTTGTGGAGAAGCCAAAGGCCCCATATTAAAACTCAAGATTTAGCATCCTGAAAGCTGTGTAACTTCAAATAGGATGCTTACCCTCTCAGTGTCCTTCCTGTTATACAGAAAATGGAGGACATAGTTACAATCCCTGGTCAGTGGGTAACCGGGAAGATTAGGCGGGAGAACACCTGAGGACGCAGATGCAAGCACCTGGCAGAGCGCCCGGCCTCTTGCGGTGGCCTCCCTGCTGCCGCAGCTTCCAGCCTCCCGCCCTGCGTGAAGCACACAGTGGCAGGCGGGAAAGAAGGCATTTCTCCCCTTGACGGGTGCTGCGGCGTCAGCTCAGCACTAGGTTACTGAATATAGAGTAACTCCTTCCCAGATAAACGCTGTACTGAGCAGCCCTGGCAAGAGCCGTAATTCAGAAGCTGACAGCACTTGGAAACTGCCCTGCGGCAGAAACCCATTGTAAACAAGCTGTCGGGCTTAAGGAGAACGCGCTGTGAAAATGTCTTAGATAAACAAACACGGTGTCAGTCCAGGCCTGGCTCTCGGAGGAGCAGTTCCTGGACGGGCCTCGCCAGTGCCATGGCGAGGGGCAAGCACGCACGCTGCTCACCTTCGCAGGCTCTCACGGGCTCCGCCCCAACACGAACTCGAGTCCTGACCTCTGGAACCTGCTGTTCCAGAAGCACACCTGTGACCCAGGAGGCCAGGGCCTCAGCCGTCTCCACCCAGAGAGCTCGGAGGAGAGGCGCCCCAGAACGTGTCCGTGTCACTGTCCATGGCACAAGGGATGTGAAGTCCATGGACAGACACAGAGAGCTAGCATGAGAGTAAGTCGCATTAAGCATGAAGACATTGTCTGTGATGGACTTGGGCTGGCCCCAGTTCAGAGCCGCGAGACTCGAGGCCCCTGGTGCAGGAAGTCCTGGCGCTCGCCCACCACTGCTGCGCCCAGCGCGGAGCCCAGTGAGCCAGTGACCTGCTTCCTCAAAAGCCAGCTCCCAGTCCCATGGCTTGATTGTTTACATTCTCGTTGCAAAGGGGGACTTCCAATAGAACGCTGTCCCAACAAGGCTCGCTCTGGGGCAGGTCTAGACACAGCCCCCAGGCAGCCTGAGAGTGCTCGGTGGCCAGTTCGCTCCTCTATGTCCCCTTACACAGCGCGGCCAGAGAGCAGTGAGCTGGGCTCAGTGCTGGGAAGGTCACTTGCCAAAGCCTGGCCCCATCACTATGTGTAAGTCACACCATAACTTCTGGAGAGAAAGGGCAAAATAAAAGCATGTAATCAGAAGATCTCCCAAAGCCTGCTGTGACTTCACAGCAAAGCTTCACCCAACCTCAGTCACCTCCCTGATGGGGACAGGTGGAGGCTAACGTCTCCTAACCTCCTTGTGCCATGCACGCGATCACAGTCTCTGTACAGCAGACCTGGCCCATGACAGGAGGTTAGTCAATACCCGTTAGATGAATACATGAATAAACTTCAGGAAACCCAGCCCAGAAGGGGCAGTATTTTTAGAATTGTGGCCCCTACATTCTTTCTTCTTCCTCTCTCCTTAAAAACCTCAAAATTGTTGTTATAGCATCTTTGTGGTTTATGTTTATTTTTTCTTCACTGCCTCTTTATTTCTCTGAATCACACCTCCTCTTTTATTTCTCTCCTGCTGCGTCGCGGGTTGCAGCGTCTTGGAGCAGCTCGAGAGGGAAGCGGACCTGGCCAGGCCGCGGGCCTGCGGGTCTGCCCTGCTCGGCCTGCACTTCCCTGGCAGGCGCCATCTCGTGCCCTGCCTCCCTCGGACTGCTTGCATTTGCCTGCAGACTGCAGGGATTAACCGCAATTAACATAGATTAATGTATAATAAGATCTCATCTGTTTGTCTACACATGTGGGCTGATTTTTTTAAATTTCCCAGCCAAGGAACAGGGAGACCTGCTCAGTGATGGACTCCCTGTGTCCCTGGACGCGGTGCTCCTCGGGCTGGGGTGTGCATGCAACCCCCCGGGATCTTGTTAAACACACACTCTGATTCTTTAGGTCTGGGTGGGGTCTAAAATCCCGATATTCTAACAAGCTCCCGGTGACGCAGGCTGCTGCTGGTCCACAGCCACGCCGAGACCAAAGCCTGAAAGGAAATAGCCCCATCTCTCTCTCTCTTTCTCTCAAGTTTCCCTGCATCTAAGAAGGAATGTCCTGAAATTGTCCTCTTCTTTCCCATATTTAGCACATGTAAAATAGCAAGCCAGGAAGGCTAAGATGTGTGTTCTGTGCTCTGCTAGGTGTCTTACATGCATCGTCTGGGATATCATTACTCACACTCACAAACAAGGAAACAGAAGTGTGCTGGCAGCGAACAGCCCCTCCAAGTCACACACACAGCCACTAAGTAGAGGATGCAAATTCCAGCCCAGTGTGGCTGGCCCGGACCTGTGGCCTGTGCCCACAGCCACTCTCAATGCTAACGCCAAGTGTGCACAGCTCTTCTGTGTCACGGACAAGGGGACTCGTGATCTGAAATCCAGCTTTCCTGACATGTTTCCAGATTCCAGGCTTCTTGTATTGCCACGGTTCTTCATTAGTACTTGTCTGCCTTCTACCTCCTTCCTATCCTTGGCCTTGAACATCTGGCTTCCCAACCTGCCTCTCACGTTCATAAGTAGCACCACGCAGCAGCAGGGCGGAATAGATAGAAGAGAATCCAGCTTAGACAAAACAAAACAAAACTGATCCGCTTTGGTGTGTTCGGGCGTTTTGGAGAAAAGCACATCTGTGTGAGTTTAAAAGCTTGTATTTTCATACCCAGATCTCTCTGGCACTCAGCCTGTGGCATCTGCTTCCTGGCCTCAGAAATTTGAGCAAGTGGCCTTGAATTTAATGATGTTGCCATGTAGACCAACAAGCCCATTCTGATCCGGCATGTACTCTCCTCTACTTCCAGACATTCCGAGCTCAAACCATGAGGTCAGCCCACCTTCTGACCACCGTAGACCCTTACCGGATCCACACAGCCCCCCAACCCTAGATAGTTAAATACCGCAGGCCTGGGGTGACTTGTCACTCAGCCCTTACCCAGTCCTCTTGGATGCACTCAAACTGGAGCCCACTCCCATTTTAAAGGCAGCTTATATATCTGCGAAAGTACAGACTCCAAATTTCCTGGGCAGCCCATCAATGCTTCATGCTAATCTTCTCCAAAACAAACCACAGTTTTAAGCATCTCGTTCATTATATTTACGTAGAAAGCAAACACTTTCCTGGCACAATTGACCATAGGAGTCACTGCTTGTACTGTCATGTTGTATTTAGGAGAGGCTTTGGTTTGAAGCAGGGTTGCAATCAGAAGGTGTCGGATATTTATTCACTCATTCATTTACTCAGCAAACTCTCTTGAGCAACTTCCTAAGTGCCGGCACTGTGATGGGTGCTGGACATGCAAAGATGAGCACAGGTCCTGCCGTTACGATGCTTCAAGTACAGGGGAGAGAGGCACGTGCAGTGATGCTCGGGACACTTGGTGCCACACCGAGATAGGCACGAGGCCCTGCAGGCACCCGTGGAAGCTGTGCCTCACCCAGCCAAAGGCTCAAGAAGACTCATCAGGGGAGTTTGTGCCTGTGCTGAATCTTCCTCATGGGACACTCGAAAATGCTGGAGCTAGAGGCAATTAGAAATCACCCATCAGGGCCACCAAGCAGTTGTGCCAGTTGTCACAGCACCGTGCACAGGGTATCCTATAGTGTGAATGGGGTCCTTTGAGTTGTGCAGTGTCTAACCTGCAGGAAGGTACTTGAAGTCCTAGCATCCCTCTCATTTAACAGAGAGGAACCTGGGGACCAGACAGGCATGTTACCCCGGTCGCACAGCCGGGGGAGCCTGGCACTGCAGCTACTCTGTCCCTCTGCCTCCAGCCAACCTTCTTCACAACTGATGCTTGGGGCCCAAAACACCACTAGACTGAAAATAAATCCAAACTCAGAACCCCTTTTCCTATTCATATCCTGATTTTTACCCAGTACGAGAGGAACAGAGCAAGCACCCGTGCAAGCCCTGCACATGTGTTCCTCGTGGGGTGCTCTTTGGTTGGTGCCCAATCTCCCCATGCTCAGCTGGCTGTGCCCTGGGCTCCTGCCCTGCTGTAGTGCTGCCAGCTTTTTGAAGCTATTGTAAATGACATATTATTGCTTGGTTACCTGCTTACCTGAATACCTTCTCTTATTTTTCCTCTCCCACCCCCAGGTGTCATTTAGGTACCACTGTCGATTGTACAATGAATGGCGTCGGACCAATCAGAGAGTGATTCTCCTCATTCCAAAGTCTGTCCACGTACCTTCTCACCAGCAGTCCTTGCTGGGCCTCCATTCAGTCAAGAGGAACTCAAAGGAGACGATTGTTTGATGTCCGTGTGGTTGGGTGGGTGGCTGGTAGATCCGTTGTTTGGGTCTTGGAATTTCTGCACTGGGGCCATGCACTGAGCCACTCCTAAGCCCTTCGTTAAGCCTGTGGGTCTAAGAACATCCAGAGCCGAGTTAGCACATCGCCCCGAGCAACGAGCTCCGCCAGAAGAAAGCAAATGTTGTTTTACTTCAAATCGTGGATGCTGCAATCATATGATATTTGCTAAGCTGCCAAACATGTTTATTTAGCAGATACTGTATGGAATTTTCTGAACACCTCTTTAACATATGAGGAAGGTTGTCCTGCTAAGGATGCAATTCAATTCTTCCTTTTTTATTACTATTACAAACACATATATATGTATTAAACTTAGATGATAATCAAAATCAAAAAGCCAACGTTAAAACTGGTTTCTTGGTTTGGATGGGTTTTATTTGGGTTAGTTTGTTTCCTGGTTTCTACTGTGGATTCTTTGGGCTAATTTGATAGCTTGAGTGGTCTTTTTCATCTTTCACGTCCCTTACTCAAGGAGGCAGCATAACAACTGCACAACATGTCATATTTGAAGAACGTTTTGTACTAAACTTCATTTAATTACTCAGTTTTTAAAGGGAAAAAAGGCGTGGCAGCTCTCCAAACCGTGAGCTGCTTATTTGAATATCACGCAGGAGAAAAAGGTGACGGTGAGAAGCACGCTCCTTTCAACTTGTTTGGTACTGACAGCTGATAGAAGCTATTTTCTAATAAATATCCACTGTGTAAAAGACAAACCCCACTGATTGCAATATTCTTTTTTTGATCATAAAACCTGTAAAGTTTCCCAAAGTAGGTTTTAAGAAGAAAAAAAAAGTAAGGAAAAGCAAAGAGGTTGGTGTTCTCCCATCTCATTTAGTGCATGTCTTAATTCTGCCTTCCTAATGAATTGGAGGATCATTAGACATTTCTAGGAACCCTAGACCTGTTTTGCATATTAATTAGCATTCCCATCGCTCTATTGAATTTCCAGCTTGACAGGTAGATGTGGCAAAAAAAAAAAAAAAAAAAAGCCTGTCCTAGCAGCCCTGCACTTATTCTAAGGCCCCTTTGTCTGATTTTCAGAAAAAGGGCACCACACAGTGCCTTCCCCAGCCATGAGCCGATTCCATCACAGGCCGAAACCGACTGTCACTAAGCGTCATCGTAGGTCCGTCGAAGTGCAAAGGGGTCTGCTCCAAAGCCTGCCTTCCTGTGCGCCTGCGTGTGCACCTGCGGAGGCCCTCGGCGGGCGTGGCTTCCGAGGGGAGCCCTGGCCTACCCTGGCCCTGGGGCTCCACGGTCTGCCCACCACACATGCTGCAGGGACAGGCAGAGCCCAGCTTCGGGGGATGCTTAAAAATATGGATTTCTAGAACATGACCCGCATTCTGAGTTTCACTCCAGCATCTGCCTTATGCTCCCCAGGTGGGAGGGTGCGAAGGCAAAGGACAGGCAGAGAGTAGGCAGGGGAAAGTTCTGTCTGAAGACGGATGGGGCCGCTGCAGATGTCCCCTTTGGCAGCTCCGCAATCCACGCACAGGCTGCCCCCGGCGCTGCGTGGGGAGGGAAACAGCTGTACTGCTCCCTGCCGCAAGCTCAGATGTGCTTTATGGCTTGTGACAATAGATTTCTCCCCACCACGCTTCACTTGGACACTGCAATTCCAGTAATATGCGTCCCAGCCCTTCTGTTTACTGGGCCCTGCTCACCCCTCTGGGCTGTCATTAGCTGCACCACCATCAACCGTTTCTTAATTGACCTTTTTAAAATGCTGGACACCACTGGCTGCACGCAGCTGTCACACATTAAATTTCCTGAGCAAAGAGTCCAACTTGGTAGCTTGTGAATTGCAGCCCTGTAATATACTTGATGAATGGCGTCCGCCCAGCTTGGTCCCTGAGCTGTCAGGTGAACCAGTGACACCTATCAACCGGATGGCACAACATTCATGAGAGGACCATACCTTTCTCCTCCCTGCTTCTTCCATGACTTAAGGAAGCAGAGGATTCCCATGATCATTTCCTTTCAAGGTTGGCTGCAGAGCATTCCTGCTGTCTTGATCCATGGAATGAGATACAATGACACTAGGTCCCGCCGTTGCTGGGGCTCCCGCACTGGGAAAGGCCGGCACACTAGGGCTGTGCCGCGCTTCCCTCCGCCATAGTTGCATCCCAGCCCTAGGAAGCAAAGCGGAGTCGTTTGCATGCGGGGTGGTGGCAGGACAGCCTGGGGCCCCCTCGTGCCAAACTCTCATCTCCGCCAGCACCGGGCCGTCTGAGATTCTGAAAATTCTTGGAGGATACTTTATCCCCTTTTGGCCTCTGAATCCTGAGATTGTTCGAGGCAATAGACCCTAGGCACGCACACGGGCACCCAGCCACGAGGGCGCAGGGACAGGTGGAGGCGGAAATCACCTGCGCTCCCGTCCCAGCCGCGCCACAGGAAGGGCTGCGCGCCTGGAGGAAGGGGCGCTTCCGTCAGCCGGGCGTGCGCGCCTACTCGTCCTTGGCTTCTCTCTTGGAAAGATCAGGAACGAAGCAGAGGAAGAGCTGAGGGGCCGGGCAGGTAAAGGGCTCTGTCCGCACGCGCCTTGCCTGGCGCGATTTGGAAGTTACTCTGATTTGTCTTTCAGTGTCCTGGTCTCTGCTCTGCTCCGAGTGCCCCGGCCCTGCCGTAGGTTGTCACTTGTCACTTTCAGCTGGGTTGTGCCACAGTCATTTCATTTTCAGTGAAAGTGACTCCTCTGAGGCACAGAGGAGGCAAGGAGAAAATGGAGCGAACCCGCAGCCCAGCTGAGCCGGCTCACGGGCAAGCAGCCAGCTGCCCGCCCGCCTCAGTGTCCCCCTGGGGCTGCCCCGCCGGCCACAGGGCCTGCGCCTGCACCAGGCCTCCTCCCGGCTGAATCCCCTCAGCCTTCCCCGCACTCCGCACTGCCTGTGGAGCTGCCTGCACCAGGAAATGCCCAGGCCCAGAGAGCCTGAGGCGGAAAGACAGCTAAGACGTGGAATCAGTAAGTGCTTCCTTTCCACTGCCATTCAGAGTGTTCCTAGAAGCTGCCTGACGATCGGCCACATGGCTCGTAGTCCCTGGTGCTAGATGAGAAATGTGGAGTTGTGATTCTGACGCCTGAAGTGGGGTACGAGTTGGGCCAGCCGGTGGGGACAGGGTTCAGGATTATTTTAGGATGGGAAGGTAGGGACCACGATGGGCTTGGCTTGCTGCCGGCCTTCCCAGCCAAGCACAGAGGATGTGCTGACTGGCAGGCCAACGGCGAAGCCTGGTGCTGCTGAGGTTGGCGTCATGAGAAGTTGGCACACCGGGTAGTGATGCCTGGGCAACTGCTAACTCTCTCAGAATGTGTCTGCTCTGCAGAAATACACGGGCTACGAGCCACCTCTTTTTGGCTTCACAAAAGTCTCCGTGTCTAGGAGTTGGCTTTGGGACACTGCCTTTCCCTTGCTACTTCAGTTGTTCTGGGGTGATCCTTCCTCTGCCTCCCAGTGTGACAGGGGAGTAGAAGAGAGCCAGCTAGGGAGTCAGACGCCCTCAGTTTGAATCCTGGCTCTACAATGTGCCAGCTGCAGACTGGGGACAAGTTACCCTTCCTTTCTAAGACTTAGTATTTGCCTCTGTAAAATGGGGATAATAACTACCTAATATAGTCCTTGCAAGGTCTGCAAGACTTAGCTCCTAGGAGTTCACAAATGAATGGCAATGCCCTTCTTTTTCCCTCTTTCCACACACTGTTGCTAATTTCTGGGTTATTTTGCCCTTGCCTGGGTTTCGAAGAGCAATTTTGATAATCAATTTGAACTGTAAACATATTGTTTTAAATGCTTTTCGAAAAGAAGAGGGATTGATTTAAAATAATCAACAGATACTTATTGAGCACTGTTATTGGGAGTAAAAAGAACTGTAAGAGACCCTTTGGAGGCTGAAATTACTGACTTGATTGAGATCTTTGAATGATGTGTAGATTTTGATTTTCCTTGCATTTCCTGATACTAGAATCCAGGGCTAATTGAGAATTCATTACAGATAAAAAGACATTTTCTAGTTCTGGGTCTAGTGCTACAGAGGAAAACAAATATAGTCCATCAGTTGTCTGTATTCCCAGAAATGAGGGACTCATGAGTCACTGAGCTCATTCATCTAGTGCCTTCTTGGAGGCTTTAAATTCTGTGCACAAAGACAGCAAAAGGAGAGTTGGCTAGGGGAGCCCTACTTCGTTTTGAGACCCTCATTTTTGGAACACATTTTTCACCTTTCAGGGACATCGTTTCCCCATCAAGAACATGAATACACGGTCTCTATCAGAAGCTTTATTTGTGGACATCAGGTGCAAAGAATTAAGTTAATCACACATTTCGGTCCACTTGTTCTTCTGTATTTCACAAATACGTATACAGTATACACACTGCTGCGTTAATCCTCACAACAACCTTACCTAATGCCCGGCAGCATTCAGCGGTCTCAACGTATTTCATCTCACTGTCCACGGGCTGGTTTGGACTTAGCTGGGCAGGGCCAGGCGGCGCCTCCTCCATACGATGGAGGGCACAGGTGCTCCTCCACGTGGCGTCTCTCCACGTGGCGTCCCAGCTCGGAGAGCCCGCCTCCCCCAAGGCGCCCCCCAAGGGGAAGAGGCTCTGTCCCGCACCCCTGGGCTGGGCCGGCCCGCGCAGCACTTCCCCCGTGTCCTATTGGTCACCGCAGTCAAGGCCCCGCCTCCCGTGGGCGGGGCTGCGCGGCAGGCCGTTCTAGGCGAGACGAGCCTCCGCCCAGAGGTTGTCCATCGCGGGGCCGCCAGACGCTGCGGGCGTTGGGAGCCTCGCCATCCGGCGCTAGGACCCCTCTCAGCGGCTAGTTCTAAAGTAGTTCCCCTTTCAAGGCCGGGCGCGGTGGCTCTCGCCTGTCATCCTAGCACCCTGGGAGGCCGAGGCGGGAAGTGTGCTCGAGCTCAGCAGTTCGAGACCAGCCTGAGCAAGAGCGAGACCCCTCTCTACTGTGAGCGAGGCTGACGCCGGCACTCACTGTAGCCTGGGCAACAGAGTGAGACTCTGTCTCCAAATAAGAAAAATTTCCCTGTTCGTTGCTAATCTGCACTGTCGCCTTCCTGGTAGGCGCCCACTCTGACGTGTTGGATATATACACGGAATACGTACACGTCTTTGCAAAAACACTGTTTTGCGAGCGTGCGTCTCGCGTGCGGAGACGGCACGTGTTACGGCCCCCCTCCCCCTCCCCCCGCACCTGCGCGCTTTCACCGCCTCCCCGCCACGCGGAGCGCGCCCGCTCGCGCCGCCCGCCCGCCCGCCTCAGCCGCGCCGCCCGCCTCAGCCTCAGCCGCGCCCGCCCGCCTCAGCCTCAGCCGCGCCGCCCGCCTCAGCCGCGCCCGCCCGCCTCAGCCGCGAAGGGAGTGTCCCGCCTTCGTTCTGCCGCTAGTTATTCCCCTTCTGCATTCGATGTTTTATTTAGTTCCATCCCCTTTTATTCTTTTGTCTAGCCAGTGTAGATTAATGGGGTATTCCCTAATCTTTTTGAAAAAGAAATCTGGAATGTTCTTAATATTTTCTATCTCACACTCTCTTGTTGCATTGACTTTAGCCTTATCTTCATTGTTTCCTATTTCCTCCCTTCTTAGTTTTTTTTAATTCACTCTTGGTTCAGTCTTTTTTTATTTTCAGATAAATTATTTAAAGCTATGTGTTTTCTTCTGAGTACTACTTTAACTCACGCAAGTTTTGAAAATTTT